GAAAGCTCAGCACGTTTTCACCCGAAACGAGGGAGAAATACTCGTGGACTGCGTCAACATGAATATAATAAAAAGCTAAACGGTTGCAGTACAACGATTTTCATCCGTCCTCATCTGGTGAGATCGAAAAACGAATCTTTTCTTCATGTACTTTCATTCGAAATGAAGGTCTCCCTAACAATGTTATCTCAGGAGATTCATCGAAACCAAGTTTCTCTTCGTATCTACTTGACTGCCTGCCTGACTGCCCGACTGACATACTCCATGCATCAGCGAAGAACAGACTACTTGACTGCCTGCCTGATCCCTCGTCTGTGTACCACTTTTTCTTCCTTCTTTACTGCCCCCTGTCTGTCCACTTGACTGTCTCTCTCACTTCCTCACCGTTTTTCCTCGTTGTCCCCATAACTGTTTCTTGTCTCTTTCCTTCTAATCGTCCATGTCTATGTTCCGGTGTCTCTTCTATCCTCTCACTGGCTTATCGGCTCACATCCACAGCTTAATCTCCTTAATCATCCATCCATCCACTTGCCTGCATTGAAGTCCACCAATCATGCGAGTCCTCCCGAACAGATCAAACCTCAGACCCCTTCGGCCAGTCAAACCCATACAGGCGTCCCTTCGTCCCCCTTAACCACCTGCTCCTTCCTCCTTTGCAGACTTTATTTTTACCATCTGATAAGAACAACGGCTGCACTAAACTATTTGTCTTGATTGCCAATTGTGCCTAAATTAGCAACTCGCCCGACTCTCCCCTCCAACTGGCCTAACTTCTCTGCTCCACTTCTTTCCCTTCCTATTGCTTGTTTGCTTGCCAGCCCACCAGCTCAGCCACCCAGCCACCCAGCCACCCAGTCAGTCAAGTGGACGAACGTACAGACGAACAGCCAGTCAGACAGACATAGAGACAGACAGCCTCGGCTGGTAGATGTGCTCATTGCTCAGTTCGGCCCACGACTGCTGACATGCATCGGCAGTACATACCAGTCTCATCTCGGTCTCCATCTTAACTGCCAGCTAGTCGGCCAGCCCACCAGCCCACCAGCCCACCCGCCAACCAACCGGCAGCAAGTCCATCCGTGTCTTCTTCCTCGGTCTGAACTGTGCAAGAGGGTACCAATTCGTGCAACATCGCAGTCACAACCTGCTCGACCAGTCCCTGCTCAACACGGAGGGAATGACGACGCATCGCCTCAGCATGACGCCCGGCGATGCCCTACAGCTGGAGGGTCCCGAAGCGAGACGTCTGCGAATGAAGAATGTTCTACGCCAGTTCTACAACCCGAGCACAGGCCGTTTCTGCAGTCTGACCGCAGCTCAATTCACCGACGTCTGGAACCACTTCGACCAAGACGGTGAGTTGGGTTTGGATTTGGGGGCCGACAAAAGGTGGGACGGGACGGAATTCGGCAGCATTTGCAAGAGGTGCCCTGCCGCTAATGTGTACCACTTTATGCTAAAATAATAAACGTCCAAGTCAATATCGGGTCCTGGTAAGAAAATCTCACTTTTAGTCAATAAGTTGGTTGTCGAGAATACCAGTAGACCCTGCATGTGAGGTGTGTTCACCCC